GAACTGGTTGTTAAACTGGCAGGATCCCATTACTGGGTATAGGCCAGCAAGAATTCATGGCCGAAAGTGGACCTGGATCTCCCTGTTGCCATATAAAGCCTTTAACCATTACACCATATGGAGTTTCATTTACTATTTATTTTACAATATACAGTATAATGATAATCTATTGCCCTCAAACATACTTATTTCATTGGGTGACAAGTATAATCCAAAATAGAGATTTCATAGTAGTTCAGCTTCAAGATTATAACAGCTTCAGTAGTAGTGATTAAACACAAACTTTTAAAAAATATTTTCAACTCTTTTGGCGAATAAAATAGAGGAAAGGGATTTCTGTTTTTCAGTTTTTGTAAATAAGTTCCTCTTGGGGTTCCCTGAGGTGAAATCATTACCTCAACACCACCCCATCCAAAGTCAAGACTCAAGAAAACTATCAATTATTCTGCTCCCTCAACAGAGGTTGAATGTAATCATTGCTCATTTGTCACTCCAATCAATATGTTGAGCTTATTAACTAAGAATTACACTGTCCCATCACAGAAATCAGGCAAACCAGATAGAAAAATAGTGAGGCGAGTCAAAATTTGGTCATATAACCCAATGCTGAGATAAATAATAATTTCATAGTCAAAGTTTACTATAACAAATATCCAAAAAAGGTAGGAGGAAGTGGGAAAAAGACCAAACCATTTAGTTCTTTTTTAACTAGCTTTTGACTCCTTCCTAGAGAATATATGGTATTCTAAAGATTCTAGTCCCAGATAAATACAGTTGAAATAAATGCTGAAATATTGCAAAAAGAAAGCAAATATCCTTGTGTCTATTAACATAAAAGATGTGGAGGGAATTGTGGAGATACAGAGTAATGAAGGGAAGTGCAGAATATATATTTGTCTCCGTTGTGAATTGATCTATAATCCTAAAATAATATGCAATGCTTTATGTTAGATTTGTTCCAGTTACAAACAGAAATTCTTTAATCTGGCAACATAGAAAATGTATAAACATATCTTCTCTAGCAGGTGCGCAATGTCATTACAAAAGGGAAATTGGTGGCGAAGAAAGAAATAAAACAAATGAATATTGTATATCATTTGTCAGATTTTTTATGTCGTGTTAAAACCTTCATTAAATTGTGAGGCTGCAATTAGAGGCTCCAGCATAAATCTGACTCTGCAGTGGAAGTAATTAGACATTTAGGTGATCATTCTTGTATTTATCATGTTTGCTGCACTACCATGATTACACAGTAATTTACATATTTTCCTAAGAAGTTACACAAAATTATTCATTACAATTGATATGGAAACATTTGATATCCTTCCCTGACTCCCCATAGAAGAATTTCAGCATTTCTTGTGACTCAGAGCTAATAAGATTTTGTTTGCTCTAGAACACACGTCTCTTTCATTTGTAAGCAAGTATCAATGCTACAATGGCCACAATTTACATGAATTCTGAACTGTGCAATAATTGGTGTGAAATACAGTTCCGCAATAATATTCGCTAGATTCTTTTTCCACTTGTTTGTATTTCAGTCAAATTTAAATGTTTATCTGGTTCTCCAAAACTATCTAGCTCCCCAGGCAAACACAGAACCAATCGTAAGTTCAATTTAGGAAGGAGTTTCTTCACTTTCTATTGGATGGGCAACATTATAAATTGCCAAAAGTGTTGTTATTACCCTTCCTAAATTGCCCTTGTGATTGGTTCAGTGTTTGCCTAGTTCCAATACTCTGATCAATGTCATGAGGCCAAAAAAGCATCTTGTTTGCATAGTGAAAATTGGCTCTCTGTAAATTAGAACAAACCTAGAAAGCATATTAAAAAGTGTACTCTCAGAACCCCGTTCCATAATCCCTTTTTTTCTGCACAAAGAAATAGACATGATCCTACTCAAGAGGCAGACTTTGGCAAATCTAAATAAAATATTAAAGAGCAGAGATACCACAATGACAAAGGAATTGTCTCAGCCGAGGTTTTCAAAGATGTAGTATATTAACATGAAAGCGGAACCATCCATCTAAATGTGGAAAATTTGTGTGGCTAAATGGTGTTGCTAGAGAAGACTGTTGAGAATACTTTGGAAGGCAAAAGGAACAAATTTTCAATGTTGTCAAAGAGAAGTCTTAATGGTCACTGGAAGCTCTATTACTGAAGCTCTAGCTTATATATTATGGGCACCTAGGATGAAACAAGAATCTTAGGAAAAGACTTTGATGCATGGAAAAACAAATAACAATAAAAAAGGGACAGAAGACACAGTGGCTGCATCACTGATGAAGAAAACATAAAAGGAATTTATAAAAATAGTTACTGGAAATCCTACCAAGATAATGGCAATCAGGTCATAAAGAGTCAGAAGCAAGAGAACAACAAAATTTCAGCCAGAAATTGAAAATAGTTATAGTGTGTGTGTGTGTGTGTGTGTGTGTGTGTGTGTGTGTGTGTGTGTGTGTGTACATTGGTGGCTATGGCTCAGCGGTTAAGATGCTGGGCTTGTAAGCTGGAAAACTGCAGGTTCCGGACCTGAGCACCATGCAATAGGGTGAGCTCCCATCCTCACCCCAGCTCCTGCCAACCTAGCCATTCAAAAGCTTGCAAATGCGATAAACAGGTACTGTTTGGTGGGAGGGTAACGGGACTCCTTTATCTTTTTTGTGTGTGTGTANATACAACTTCAACAACAGAGTGGTCAATGCCTGGAATGCTCTACCTGACTCCGTTGTTACATCCTCAAACCTCCACTGCTTCAACCTTGAACTGTCTACCATGGACCTCACTCCATTCCTAAGAGGTCTGTAGGGGGCATGCATAAGCGCACCAGCATGCCTACCATCCCTGTCCTACTGTCCCGATTTATTTGTACTCATTTCATGTGCTCATGTCCATGTTTATACTTACGTTGTACATCTTTGGCAAGCCAAATAGAATAAAATAAAATAAATAAATAAATAAAAATGACTTGGGGGAGGGGCGAGGGACCCACCCAAGGTCACCCAACTCACAGTCATCTGTTTTCTAGCCTGATACCTTAACTATTAGACCAAGCTGGCTCTCATTTACCTTTTTTTAACCATTTCCCCCATTTTTTACCTAAATATAGTTGTTACAAAAGACTTATATCTATTGATACTTCCCATTATTTGCCATCTGTATGATGCAAGGAAATAATCAAGCCTGGAAGTATTCTTATCACTTTTAAAAAAAAATATTTTTGTCTAATTTGTCTCATTTTCACTAGATTCAGAATGAAAACAAATATGGTTTAATGAAGCAAAACGTCTTCCAAATTTATGCTGCTATAGCATAATCAGTCCCCAATTCTAGTTTCTGGTACTTACACAATCACAACAGCAAACTTTACACACAATAAAGAATGTGAGCAGGGTTGGTAAAAAAAAAAATACTGTGCCAAAACCTGGCTTTCAGCTTCTCACTAAATTCCTTACCCAGGGAAAGATGCTTTTAGTTTTCTACCTTATTTTCTGGGAACTTAGTAATTTCTTTTAAATTTCTTTTTGAATGTAATTATTAAGATGATGGAGCTGCCTACTGCTGTTATCTAGAAACCTTTTTGAATACCGCGTTCCACTCAGTGATGGGATTCAAAAAAGTTTATTACCGGTTCTGTGGACGTGGCTTGGTGGGTGCAGCATGGCTTGGTGGGTGTGGCAGGGGTAGGATATTGTAACATTTCCATTCCATATCCACTCCAGGGGAAGGTTAGTGTAAAACAGGCTGGTTTTTTGCCCTCCCCAAGCCTCGTGCGTGCCCTCCACTTACTTGCGTCCAAAATGGGCCACGTGGGAACTCCTGGGAGGGGCTGGAAGGGGTGGTCAGGGCCAGCCAGGAGTGGGATTTGAGGGTTCTCTGAACTGCACAGAATCTTAGCTAGAGGTTCTCCCAAATCACTGTGAATCAACAGGTGCCTACTCCTAAATAGACTACTATATTATGGAGACTTACAGCAAAAAGGAGATCCTGTATTACAGCTTGCAATCCCTTTTATTTTAAAGAAAAACTAGGCAAATGGTTTTGACTAAATAGGACATGACTCTCAACATAATAGAAAGGTGTGACATGACAAGTATAATCTTTAAAAAATATTATTTAACCAAAACTAAACCAAATAGAATTTTTAAGGAAAAAATGCAAAATGAATGATTTAGAAACCTAATACTATCAAACTATATATTTAATAACTGAAAATATATAGGAATGTATATCGATCAATAAAGAGAATTACCAGAGAAATGAGTTCTGAATAGACTAGGTAGATACATATTCTTTAGGCAACACCACTTTTTCTACTTACCGTACAAATTTTTGGGTGATAAACTTATCAATAGTTTCTTTGCTATTATATTGAGGTGGCATCATCCATGTTGTACAAATTGCCATCAAATATAAACTACGGGAGAATGATTTCAAGATTAGCTACTTACATATTTATTATACAAATATGTACGGCCATTCATCTTACAATCAATTTTGCATATTAGCATTCCACATAAAATAATTTGGAAATCGTATTGTGAATATTGTATAAGCTAGAGATCATTGGTACATTTTCTATTTGCAATGTCTAGCTAGAATGAATATTTGCGGTAGTACTTGTGTTTTAATTTGTTAAAAATGTATTAACTACTTGTTATCATTGTTCAGGTTCACCGACAAATGTGTGCTCGACAAAAGCGCACTGTCAAAACCACGCGGAGAAAACCGTGAGTTTGAAATCGCGCCATCAAATGAGCGCAGAAGCACGCCGACAACAGCGCGCCGACAGAAGTGCGCTCTAAACCTAACCCTAGCCCTAAACCTAACCCTTACCTTAACCATAATCGCGCTTCTGTTGGCGCTTTTGTGGGCGCGCTGTCGACATCGTGGTTTTATCGCCGCGATTTCATTGGGTGCGCTTTTGTCGGGCGCGCATTTGTCGGGTCACGCATTGTTCAAAGTATCTAACTTGAAATTACTATTTTGCTATTTAATAGAACCTCCAACAACCCGATCATCAGCTACTATACGTAACAGTAAGAGTCAAGATATATCCCACATTGCATTTGGATCTAAAGTCCTTGGACCACCACCTCTCTCAGGCCGAAGACTCACAACAAGAGCATCTGGGGAGGTAAGATTCTTAAGAACAAATGTTTTAGTGGCAATTCTGTGTCCCCTCCCCAAATTAAGACCTAAAATACACATAGTCCTCAACCTACAATCAAAATTGGGACCCAAATTTCTATTGTTAAACATAGAGGTGGTTAATTGAGCCAATTTTACAATCTTTTTGCAGTGGTTCTTAAGGAAATAATAATTCTTAAGGAAATAATTGCAATTGTAAAGAGACTCAGATAGTTGTTAAGCAAATGCAGCTTCCCCCATTGCTTTTGCTTGCCGTAAAATGGCTGGGATCACATGACCATGGGGATGTTGTTGATCATGTGACCATGGGGACACTGTTGTGGTTGGAAGTGTGAGCACCAGTTGTAAGTCCTTTTTTTCCATTCCACTGTAACTTAAAATGGTCACTAAGTGAATTGTTTTTAAGTCAAGAACCACCTGAATGAACAGAAAACTTATAAAAAACCCTTCCCATTCCAACCCTCAATTGCTTTCCTAAACCAGAAAAAAAGTTCAGAATATATAGGGGATTAATGAGGGGAATGGGAGCAGTTTTCTTCCCATAGACCTCCCACTCCCATTCTTACTAGAAAACAAAATTAAAAAAGAAAAACAAACAAAATTGATGCCACTCTTTGATCCCTCGAAAAAAGTGGCAAACTGTTTTGTAATGCCTAATCTCTACAAGGTACCCATCTTTAGTCTGTGATTTGGCCATCTATTATAATTGGTAATGTAATAAAGTTTGAGGTCCTCAGTACCACATCCAAAGATGCCAGTGTGTCCCCAGATGTTGCTTTCTGCGTGTACTGGGCTCCATACATCTTAAAACATCTGATCAAGCACAATAGAGGCTCACATATTGCAAAACAAAACACCAGTGTTTCATATATTTTTTAAATGCCTCTGGTCCCAAATGAGTCCCATCAGTGTTTTTAGAAAATGAAAATCCTGGGCAGCTGTAATTTAATGCTCTTTGTCATTGGAGCCCCAGAAAAGAGTATAGGAATGGCCCAGGTAAATCAGGCTGAAGCCTATCTTACTTCTTCAAAATGTTGTTATCTTTGTGAATCAGATGCCTCTGGGTGCTTGAAAGCAGGAGTTAAAGATATACCTGTCATTTCTGCTAGGTAGACCAAGAAATCAACTCCACAGGAAGCCTAAAACTACTTTTATTACTATTGATTGTCCTTACAAAATCTTGCCAGTCTGATTGTGTTATAATCTCATCCTCCTTATACTTCACTGAATTAGGGAGCTGGCTATTACTTTCTTTCTGTTATGGGCTTTACGTATGCTTTGCCTTGATAACAGAATTTCCATGTTTCCTTCAACATCTTCCTCCTTACTCACTGCACCTGTCCTGTATACCTGCAACTGGTATTTGGAGGCATTGGCCTGAATCCTGAGATAGCATTGAGTGTCCAGATTAATAGCTTTCAGTGGTAAATGAAACAGAGGCAAAAGGAAACAGCTGGTTGATTGGCAGCAATTGATACGAGAAGCATGGCAGATTTGTATAGAAAGGATCAGATGAGGCCTGTATTTCCTCTTAGACCCCACTTCCAGAGAATTCTGGGAGTTGAAGTACACGAATCTTAAAGTTACCAAGTTTGGAGACCCCTGTCTGAGATCATGCTTGGCCTAGAGCAGGGCTATTAAACTCCTGGCCCACAGGCCACATGCATCACATGTTGGCCACACCCAGTTTAGCGAAGGGGAAAATGTCCCGATACGGGACTCAACTACTTTTGCCTTCTATTGTCTTTATAACATTCTATTTCCTTGTCAAATTTTCACAGTGAGAATTTATTATGTAAGAAATATTTGGCTCACTGTAGATGTCAACCTTACCAGATAGAGCAGATGGGAAACACAACCAGATAAATTAAATCTACTTTATTGTAAAGATACATTAACAGAATCTTGCAGGTGTACAAGTACAATTCTCACTCCATCATCTTTACATCCGAGAAATTAGGGACAAACCTTTTGAAGCCTTTTGCCCTGCCCACTAATCAGCTGTGGGCTATGCTGTTACTTATCTGACCATACCCAAGGCAGTATCTCTTCACCCTGTCTCCCAAGGTGTTTCCCACATACTACTATATAAACATTTCATGAATATTCTTATTTCTGTGTTTACCTTCCAGCCTCCCAAGCGTATCAATTGGCAATTTTGACAGCAGTGAAATGAAAAAAGGAATTCAAACCTTCAATGTTTTTTTCTGATCAAATTTAAAATGCACAGTTCCAATTTTCCATTACATAACCCATGTAAAAGTGCAACAGGGATTGCAACCTGTGCTTGTAATGTAATGCTTTCTATTAAGATCCATCAACTTTTGGAAAAAAATTGAAGTTATTGCTTGGTGTTGATAGTGCTAAGCACTAAGCAAAAATGTGTTTGCATATGTTTAGACAGAGACACAAACTTTATATTTTTTACTGAAAACAATTGTATTTAAAGTACAAAATACTATGGTTTTTAATACTAATAAAAGCAGTATTCAGTCCGATTTTACATTTTTTAGTGTTTGTACTATGTCTTCTAATCTAACACTACATCGTTGAGTTGTTCTATGCTCTGGCTCATGTCAGCATTGATGTTGTTGTGGGTGGAAGCTTTATACTTCCCATTCCCCCACCTCCTCTCAGTGGACCTAACCCTAACCCTAACCCCCATTCTCGTTTGACTATAATTGTTTAAACATCCTTCATCATAAAACATACCAAAAACTCAAGACATAACCACATACTGGCATCTCATTTGCTATTTCTAGTATCCCAATAACACTATTCCTTATGGCCTATTCTAGCATAAGTTCTTTTATTTTTTCTTCTTCTGTGTCTTGCCATCTAGGGTAGGGTTNTGTAGATGAAGGGATATGATTAAACAGATAGGAACAAGCTTGAATCATTTCTAAGAATGATTTTTTTTCTTATTATTGTAACAATGAAACCCCTAAAATGGATTTAGGGAAGCCTTCACAAGATACACATTGTAAGACCTATTTTGCTGCTTGTTTACATTACACTGTATTGATACACACTGTAGTATAACCAGGTACATCTTTGTACTTTATCCAGAATAATGTTTGACATTCTTGTAAAATGGAGAACAATATTGCTCATTAGGGATGTTTTTTCCAGCACTCCTACACCGATTAGTGTTTTAGGATGCAACGTAGTTCTGTGACCACATCTTTAAAAGATTTATAACATAAAGAGCCTAGGCCCTTACAATAAACTGGAAGGCACACTGCCTGTCAAAAGTGGAGGAACAAAAGTGAAGGAACGTCATCGGTAGACAATTAATTACAATAATTAATTATCTGGAAACACCTGCAACATTGGGATCAGCAATCTTGCAGTGATCTATCAAAATAAACACCAAAATGCTACATTAAGAGAGGACGTCATGCCTAATATTTCTCCAAAATCATTTGTATATTGAAATTAAAATATGTGTGTCTAGCTATAAATAATTTATCCAGAAATCTTTTCAGAAAAGAGGTTAGAAATTATAACACTGAAGATAGGATAAGTAAAGTGGAGAATGCAATAGACTGGTACCACTGTGAAGAAGGATTCCTTATTGATAGGCCCTATGATTTCTCACTATCCTACATACTGAAGTCCCCAACATGTCCATGGAACCAGGACCTTGTTCAGCAGAACTGCTCCAAATAGTTCAAGACAAATGAATTAAAGGTCTATGTAAGACTTCATTTTGATCTACTCTGAGAAGTTACAATTATTACTTACTTTCTTAGTAGATTTATTTCTCTGGCTTTTTTCACCCAGGAGTCTAAGGTTGCTCATATGGCAATTTCTATTCCCCACCAAAACAACCCTTTTTATATTGTGCTTTTTTATCTCTATATATTGTAGATGTTTAATGTTAAATGGTGGGAGTATGCTTGATTTATTGTTTGATTTTATGCTATACTTCAGCCAAAGTCATATTGTTTGAGTTGAGAGATCTTACGTGTCTTGTGGGTGGGTGTTTGGGTGAATGAGTGAGTGAGTGAGTGAGTGAGTGAGTGAGTGAGTGAATGAATGAATGAATGAATGAATGAATGAGAAAACTGTAACATACATTCAACTTACGGATTGCCCCAAGGCCTCCTAGTGAATGCCATAGTTAATAGTGGATTCGAACTTGGAGGTCCCCACTCCTTGTCCAACACATTAATTGCTATATTTTTTTTAAAAAAAAATTGATCTTTTTACAATTTTTACCTGCTTATATTGCAGTATGAATTGTTGCTTTTTCCTGAAGAGACATATAGACATCATTAATACGCATTGTTCAACTTTTTGTGTTTGCAGATGAATGGATATTTCCTGACAAAGAAAACTCTCAATTGGAATCCAGCAGTCCTCTGCCGATAGCCTATGAAACATCCCATGATGTTTCAGGCTCTGTCCCAAGTGACGACCAGACATATGAAAGCGAAGAAGCAGCTGAAGTCCCTGAGGATATTTTCACCTACTCCTCAAAACCTAGATCAGCGCCGCATGGAAATCCCTTGAGTCTTTCTTCAGAAGATTGCACTTTTTCTTTGGATTTGAAGGAAGAAATTAGCAAGGAGTGGCGAGGAGCTCAAATGGAAGATGACTTCTATGGAAATGAGAGCAATGGAGAGGTAACGTGATGGGTTTAAAGGCTTGCTGTTATTTTGCTGTATACCCCTGGGATTCCTCCTCATGTATGCATATGTGTTAAAAAGTGGTGTGTGTGTGTGTGTGTGTGTGTTTGTGTGTGTGTGTGTGTGTGTGTGTATGTGATAGAGCCAGAAAAAAAAGTCTTCAGAAGAAATTTGAATTGTCAATTGGAAAAGTTATTATTTTGTAGTGGTTAGGCCAGGGGGCTGAGTTCAGGGCAACCAAGACCCTAATCCACAATTAGATTTGGAAGGTAAATTGGAAAGCTTTGGGCCAGTCACAGTCTCTCAGTCCATCTTACTCCAAAGGGCTGTTTTGTGCAACAAAACCTGAAGAAAAGAGTATCATATTGGAATTTGAACTTTTGGAAAGAGAAAACAATTTAGGAAAAAAACTGTTGAGGGGGGAAAACTGTGAGAAAAAAAGGGAACTAAAATTAAATGTAAAGACGACCAAACTATCAATAGCAGATAGAACAACCAGCCTAAGAATTAACAATGAAGATATTGAAACAGTAGATAGTTTCTGCCTTTTAGAATTAACCATCCACTGAAAAGGAACATACAGTCAAGAAATATGCCACAGATTAGCACTGGGTAGAGGAACTTGTGAACATCTTGGAAAGATATTCAAATCCATGCTGTGCCTCTACCTGCAAAGAGGTTTTGCAAGTCACGATGCTCTATGGAAGTGGAAGGTGGACTTTAAAGAAACAGGACAGGAAGAACATTGATGTCTTTGAACTTTGACATTGGTGAAGACTTCTAAATATACCATGGACAGCCAGGAAAACAAACTGATGAATCATTGAACAAATCAACCTACAGTTCTCATTCAAAACACAGATGATCAGGCTTAATTATTTTACTTTGGACACATTATATGAGGATTCAACTTGCTTGCAAAGAAAATGCTAGGAAAGGTGGATAGAAAAAGAAGAAGAGGATGGCCACTAGCAAGGTAGATTAATACACCGTTAGAAGAAAGAATTATTCAAACAATATCATGGAGAAAATCTGTCTACTTACTAGGAGTTTATAAAATAACTTGATAGCACATAATCATAATTATTGTTATTTTACCCTTCAGTATAAAAAAAAAAGCTGAAAACCTCTTTATTTCAATAGATTAATAATTAAATAGAAGAATTTGACCATTCTTAATAAAATGAGATATACAGGTAAAACTCAAAAAATTAGAATATCGTGCAAAAGTCCATTTATTTCAGTAATGCAACTTAAAAGGTGAAACTAATATCTGAGATAGACTCATTACATGCAAAGCAAGATAGTTCAAGCCGTAATTTGTCATAATTGTGATGATTATGGCTTACAATTTACAAAAACCCCAAATCCACAATTTCAGAAAA